ATATATATGTATGTATGTATATTGAATACTTCAAAGAGCATGTTCTAGGATAGGTGATTTGCTTTGAAGGCTTTGACATTCGAACTTCAAAATTTCAAAAATTCGAAACTGAACAATTAAAATTAGACAATTATTAATATTATTAGTAATAAGTGCGAATTTATAAAATTATATGATAAAATTTGAAATAAAATATTTCAATATTGTAATAATTAAATAAAAAAGTACGTAAGTTTAATCACTTTCATCGATTTTACGATTCTGTCTTGAATTTCCATTTCTTAAAATTCTTTTATGTTGAGAAAGACTTATAATTAATAAAGCCAAAACATTCATATTAATTTATTATTTAATTTGCTATCCAAATTATTTAAGAATATCACATTTTTCCAGTATTTATTTTAATTCATTCTTTTATTTACAATAACATTTTTGGACTAAATTCGTCATTCGCACGAATATACTTTTCGAAGGCTTTGAAGGCCTTAAATTTCGAAATTTCGGAGTGTCGAAAAAATTCGAATCTTCTAATCAGTCAAAAATAACAGTCCTACTCCAGAAAGACAGGTGCCATAAAGAAGAAGAATATTGAGTGCTTCTCAACAAGAGACAACTACATTCTTGATTTTATACTCGTTAAAAAAAAATTACATTCTTGTTGTTTGTCAATGTTAAACAAAGATGGAATGATTCGCTGTGTTATCTATGTCATCTGACTCTTGCTTATTTTCTAACAATAATTAAGTATAAGCTCTCACGAGGATGTCTCGATCGCCACGATGATTGTTGGCGACGCTTTCGCGTTTTTATGTCGTCTCTGGGATCGAAACCAGATGTATATATCTATCTTCGAATTTACGATGTGCGCTTTAAATGGAACATCGCGTTTCCATTTGTCACGAATAAACGTAGAGATTTCTGCATGAAGGATTTCCAAAATTATGCTGGTCCGATTTTTTATTTTTTTTTGGTTTTCCATGGAGGCGATAGAATGATGATACGGCGACAGGCGACCTCCCATCGATCGCGGTTTACGCTACCCTTCTGAAATTCATGTATATATGTACATCTGTGTACAGTATGTTGCAGCAAAAACTTGAAATTATAATTGAAGTATAATGAATAATGTATATATACCATATAATTATTTTATGTGTGTGTGTATTTATATGTATATATACTCAGATTTTAGTAAAAATGAGACACAAAATTATTAATACCTTTAGAATGTATTCTATTTTTAAGTGTTGAAAACAAGATAATTGATATTTTCGTAAATTCTATTAACGGAAGTGCGAACAACAATTTAAATCATGTTTTATTAAATAAGAATACTTGTTTTTTTTATACATACGATATTTTTTTATTTATTTTCGCAATAATTAATATTTTTTTTAGTATTTATTTCTCGAATAGTGTATAAACAAAGTTACGTTAGATCTATATTTGTATTCCTTTAGCTTAAATAGTTAAACAAAATTAAATTGTATACATGAAATTCAATTAACGAGGCATTTGTTAACAAGATATGCAAAGAATTTACCAATTTATGCCAATTAACGTGTCTTTACTAAAATGTTTTAGTATGTAACTCGCTAATAAGTGTATATATTTAATAATAATACAATAAACGCATACACGCACGTTTATATATTCTTTACTATCTCTAAAATTTTTAATAAATAAATATATATACACGTTTATACTTTACTGTACATGTATATTTTATCTAAATATTTTTCATTTAATAATTATGAAATCGTATTGATTAATTAATAATTATAATTTAAATTACATCCAAACTTTTAACAGATTACATTGTAAATAGATGTTTCTTTAATCATTCTAATATGTATCTCACTAATTGAATGAACGTTTAATAACAATTAAGAAACTATTATCGTTCATGCAACAATCTCTTTAATTAAACTCTATTTAATTAAACGTATAATTAAACTTTCGTACTTCTCCGTTTATCTTATTTTCGAAATTAATATCTCACTCTTTATGTGATCCATAAATAAATAATAATAATAATAATAAATATTAATTCACTTTAAATTAGTTAAACATTAAAAAGATCCCAGCTTATAGATCGTTATGGCCAGGATTTCCTATTTCCTATTTGATAAATAATAGTATTAATAATAATTTCAAAAACAAGATTTCAACATTAATAATTGTATATATTGTGCAGATTCTACCTTAACAAACACCGTTCCTGGACGAAATCGACATGAGTAGGAGCAACGAGAGCGGTATATCGTTAGCAACGCCGCCAGCAATTCATGTTGGGCCTATCGTCACACCAGGGTCCAATGAAACGATTTCCATCGTGATACCGTTATCAGCACAGCTGACCACAATGGCTAGTCAAAAAGTCGACAAGAATAGTAAGGATTACGGCAGTGATACAAAACGGGCAGTCCCAGTAATTGTCAATCCTCCTCGAAGGTACAGGAAACAGCGAGCTTCTCCATAGATTCTTTCACAATCTATGTGAATTCCAGATGTCTGTACATAATCTAAAAAATACATATATTGAGTAAAATATACATATATTATACATATATTGACTCGGATACAATTTTATTCTTGATATATTAAGGATATTTTTGGTATAGAAGTTCAGTTTTGTTGACTTTTAAATTTCTTAATGATCAAATTTTCAGATTCTTTAAATTATTAAGTCCTTTAGAATTTCTTCAATATCTTAGCTATTCTAACCATTTTTCATTTAAAGTCAATTTTCATCTTTATCTCTTCAATTAATTTTCAATAAACAATTGCTTATATTGAATAATGTTTGTTTTAGCGGTATTTAGAAGTTTAGGATTGGAAAATTTAAATACGTGCTTTTTTTTCCAGTCCGAGGAACAGGACATGTGGAAAAGGCTGTCCCTTCCCCACATGCATGCGATATGGACGAGCGTTTTCTAGATTGCACGACTTGAAGCGGCACATAGCTCGACACGCGATGCGCAAGGAAAAGCTGCAGCAAACTGAACAAAAAGTCGATATCGAAAACGCAACAAGCGATGCAACTTTACAAGACGCTCTTCTGCGCGATACGGAAAACAAGGGCGGATATCCTTGTCCACGATGTACGAAGAGGTACAACGATGAGGATAAACTCAAAGCTCATCTGGTCTCACATGGCAAAGTACGATTTATTCGATATTCTTCTAATTCTTAAATAAATTCTTAATTAATTAGAGCAATAACAGAAACAATTAAATAAATTTTTGATAAAACAATAAAAAAACGAAATGTTTATATTTTGTATATATAATTTGTTTCTCAAATTATATATAAATAATTATATGTATTATTTGTCTAGATAACGCCAAAGAATAATCACTTGAAGCAAGAGGAACATACTAGGAATACGCTGCAGAGTCAAGCAATGATAGATAAGTCCTCAACAATCGTGAAAAACGAGGACGATTTTCTTTTGGAAGAGATGCTATTGATAAAGAAGGATCCCCGAAGGACAGACAAAAACGATTCGAAGATTAGGTGCGATTACTGTTCAAAGACTTTCAAAACCAAGTGGACTCTGAGCTCGCACGTGGCCGCTCATGAAGGCCGTTTTCAGTATGATTGTGGTCTATGCGGTAAGAAATTCGTCAGGAAGAGCCACTACGAGGGTCATCTACGCTCTCATGAGGCTGCCAGGCCGTACTCCTGCGAGCAATGTGGTAAAACGTTCAAAGAGCTCAAACATCGTCGCGAACATACCAAGAGAAAGCATCCAAGTAATCAGAGCGCAATACAAAGTTTGTTAGATAGCATTGGACCGTGCGCGGCCGAAGAGACAAACATTGATCAGGCCAAATTCACTTTGTTAATGCCAGTAAATTTTGGCGGATAAGAGTCGAAGAGGCCTTTTGTCGTCTAAAAAAGATTACTGTGGATCCTTCATGTTCAATTGTAAAAGTTTAATTCCTCGGAACTTTTTCGGATCGATCCAGATTAGAACATTGCATCCTTGGAACCTTGGGCCTTTTGTACTTTGGCTTTTTGGAACTTCGGATGTTTAGATGATTCGACCCCTGGAACTTTATTATTTAGAAGATGGATTCCTTGAAACTGTGAATGCTTGAAAAATTGAATTCTTACTTTAAATCTTTCGAATAGTTGCTTGAAAGATGAGATCTTTGGAAGTTCTTGAAAATTACAATTTTCAATTGTTTGGAATCAGAGATTCTTGAAATTTCGAACTTTGAATTTTGGATCAATACTATCTTACATTTAGATCTTTGAAAGTATCAATTTTTTTGGATCTTTGGAATTCTGAAGGTTGTAATAAAATGAAATTTATCTTAAAGTATTCCAAAGTTACTCAACGACCAGAAAGTAATATGTTCAAACGACAACTTTTTCAAGTTGGATGACAAATAAAAACTTAATTGACTTCAATAATTGACAAATCAAAACCATGTGAACATTATGCCGATTATAATCAATTTATCATTCTATACTTTACGAGAAATATATAAAAAAATAAATCTTGAACCAATGAAGTTACTTCTTGTATTCGCTTTATTCCTCAATCTTTATATTTATTTTATATAGATTTTTTTAAAAGAAAAATACATATTATATACTAATTATTTGTTCAAAAACAGATTTTGATAATAATATCGAGATGTTTATACGAAACTAATTCAAGAAATGATTGAAGAAAAAATAATTTAAAGACAAAATTTAAGCTAATTGATTTACAGTAATAAGAACCGTGAATGTTATTACGATAAGTTTTTATAGAAATACAGAGAAATTTAAAAGATTTTTAAAGATAAAATTAGCATATTTTTAGACTTGTATTATCTAGAATCTAGGAAGATGTATATTCATTTCAATCATAGACCATAGCTTCTCGCTTGTCTTCAGTTTGAAGTTATCATCACAATGATAGGAGAGAATTGTGATATAAGACTCTTTTGTTTCATGCAAATTAGAGAGTTCTCACTCCTCAAAAGATTCTTGCAAAATTTCGAGAATTCCTGTCCTATAATCGAAAAAAAAATCCTTTCAATCGTGATCGGTATGCAAGGACGCACGTAATTTTCATGATTGATCGCGATCGGTTGTAATTGCTCACGATCGCGAGCAAGGACGAAATCTAAAAGGAGTCAAATGGGCGCGAAACGGCGAAGAGTATTCTCGCGATGCAGACAGGACGCACAAAGATGCAAGAGTGTCGGATACACGTTGGATAGTTTACCGCCGGAAATCCTCAGTATCATCCTGAAGATGCTGCCATTGCACGACGTAGCTTGCACCGTTCGTCTAGTCTCCAGGTAGATTCCTGCCAATTTAGCAAAATTAAAGACAGTTTTAAAAATTACGAGAACAATTATTAGAATTTTACCGATCATCTATATTTATTCTAATTAATTTTCTAATTTACTATTAATTTTTGAAATATATTGTGAATTTAAGTATTAAATGTTTAGGAAATATATTTTTTTAATAGATAGATTTTTTACTGTAATTTCTGTATTGCACTGCATAACTGTGATCCTAAATATACTTCAGTATTTTTCTTTGAAATCTTAAATTTCAAAATTGGAAGTCGTAGAAAGAAAAATTTGATGTTAAAAACTAAATCATTTAGATTGTCAACTTCAAAACTATCACCAGATTTAAAAGAAAATTTTAGAATTTCTTGCTCTTCTTGAAAATTATAAATTCTAAATCCTTGTTTATAAATTCAAAATCAATCTTTTAAATTCCAACTTTCCCAAATCTATATTTTTTAAAGAAGTATAGATACTTTCTCATTTCTTCCTTAATCCTAATTGTTAAATAGACGCTGCTATGACATTGCTGCCACGGTACTGAACAGCGAATTTCTAGTGGCTGGCACCAAACTTGAGATTGCAATAAAACGCACGGAAGACCTCATGAACAACGTAAAGACTAACACGGAGTTAGTAGAGTGCAACAAAATTTTTAACGCGCTGGAACTTATTCGCTGTCAATATCGAATGCTGAAGGCAGTCACGTGGCGATATACTCATCCAAGGTTTCTAAATTCTTCAATCTCAAACTGATGAATCTATATTAAATCATTGCTTATCTGGTTGTAAAATCCCGCTAGTTTATTTAAGATTACTGGATTATTGAATTGATTTTGAAATCTCTCCATTTATAAATCTGTTTGCTATCAACTTTAAGAAATTCCTCATATCCAATATTTTCTTCCATAATTTCCTTATAATTTAAAAATATACACTCTCATACTTTTTGTGCTAAATATTGTATCTTCTCTCCAGAGTCTAATATTTTTTAAAACTTCTAAAAATTAAAATTTATGATATATCGAGGAAAAAGTCTTTTTACAAGTTGGCAAAAAAACTTTTAGCAACCCATATATTCTATTTTTAAAAAATTAGCAATTACACAACTTGATAGAGCAACGTTCAGCTTTGAGAATCTGTATTTTTAATTGCAATACGATAATTTTTAACTTAGTTACGAGCAATAAAGTCAGAATGTTCCTTTTTATTTAATCCGAGAGTAACTTGGAAACAAAAAATCATAGGAACATTTAAAAAAAAAACGATTTTATGGGGAAAGCTTCGAGCTTTCACGATAGATAATCAAACATTTGTTCAAATTTTTTTGGGCACGCTACAGACTTACAAAGTAAAAAGAAAATTTTTTACTTTTTTCAGTAGTTTTCTATATGTAAAAATTACAAAACTCACAATTAAAAAAAATAGCAACTATTCAAAAGTAGAGATTTCGAGCTTTAAAATCTTTTTTTTTTTTTTAATTTAAATTTTTATTATTTTTAATAAAGATAATGATGAGGAAAGGTTTTTTTACAATTTGTAAAGGGACTTTTTCCGTAATATAAAATTAAAAAACTTCAACATTAATGTATTATTAAATATTAATGTATTAATTAATCGATTTTTATTTGAATATTCTCCTCCGATTTAAAATATATTTTCTCCTGCTGAATAGGCATTAATTTTAAGAAAGAGGATTCTGTTAAATTTACGTAAATATATAAAAAAAAGATCAATACTTCCTTATCTATTTTATTTACGTTAAATAGATCACGTGATTTACCCATCTCCTGCTTCTACGGCGGTAGAATCCTCGATAATCTCAATTGCCTACTGCAAACGGTCTTCAGTCCTTGCCAGGAGTCGCGCGTCTTTAGTTACATCGACCTGCAGATCTTCACGCGCACTTGCGAGAATTTCATGGATCACTTCGAAAAAGTTACTGAACGCAAAATAAATGGGTAATCTCCTTATTTTCATCATCTCATCGTTCAATTTTGCGGTCACTTATCAGCGTTCGATTAATAAATCAACAATCTTCGATCGAATAGCTATCATTCATGTTCGTTTAAGCAATGATCAGTAAAGACAAATCGTCAATAGATCTGCGCTGATCTCAGGATGTAAGATAGTCGACGTTCTGGACTGTCTGGAAGAAGGTCGGCAGGTACTATCCTTTAGGATTTCATCAAGAACTGACAATCCCATGGTAAATAGTCAAACATTTTTGAAGATGTGATATTCACTGATGAATAGGACACATCGAATATTTTGGCACATTTATATATTACAAAAATCCCAATATTATTTAAAACTAAAAAATTTTGAAAGTCTCTTGAATGTATTGAATCTCGTTAAATCTTGAATTTTTCGACAATATATTTTTTCCTTTTACATTTATAAAACTTTATTATCTCAAATTATTTTATTTTATAAGATTATTAAGATATTTTATAAGATATTAAGATTTGAGAGAAGAAATTTTATTTTTAACAATTTGTAAGAGAAAAGAGAATTTCTCTTATATATTTTATTTTAAAATGAAAAGATTTCCAACTTTAAGAAAACTTTCTAAAGTCAAGAATTTCAAGCATTCAAAAAATTTTCAAAATTCCTAAAAATTTCTAAAAATGTTTCGTAAAGCAATCTAAATTTTCAAATTTTGATTATCTAAAGTAGTCGAGAAAGATCATTGATAGCGATATTTCTTTAATATTATATGAACATTTCTTAAATGAAAATCTTAAAGCAAAAAAGAGAATTATGAGAATTTAAATCAAAATCGAGCATGTGGATATTGCATATTATACATATCGCTACCTTACGTCAAATGTGATACAACTGTAAAAAAAAAAAACTGAAAAAATGATCCTCAAATTATTACGATAAATGAGTTAACATTACCCGCTCAATCATTACAAATAAATTAACTTTAAAAAAAATTGTCACAACTCAAAATAATTAAAAAAAGAATCAACTAAAAAAGAATAGTTTTTATGAAATAAAAATGACAAAAATGACATTGGATCATGTTAAGATTGTTAAGAATACTTTTTTAATAGTTGTTTAATTAGTTAATAATTTTCAATTTTTCCTGTTCTCTAGGAAATTTAATTTTTGCAGTTGTGTTCCCCTCAAAATCACAAAACTTTTGTCTGAAACATTTTTCTCTAAAATGCACTGTTCAAGAGAAATTGGAGGTCGTCATTTAAAATGGCACCCTGTATACAGAATACGGTTCAATTCATCTATTTAATTTCCAGGTCAGCATGCATCTCAAATACGTCTTAAGACGCGCATGGTTCACATGCTTGCGGGTGCCTAATGCAAGTAACGAGTATTGTTGGCGGGATAAACAGCGATATATGTATCTGAGATTACGCCGACTGGTTGGCAGCTACAATAAACATCTGTTTCATAAGCTGCACTATGAACGCAAGCTCATTCTTCGAGCGATGGTTCGTAAAGCTTAACTCGCTTAAGTCGCTGAACAGCTACTCACAATCATTTGTCAAAAGTAAAAGATTTTATAAATCAATTAAAAGAAACAATAAACAATCCTATTTTTGGTCAAAGGGAATCGTTAGTGCTTAATAATATCTAATATATAATACGCAAATTTTTTTCAAATACATTTTAAAAAATCGCAAACTAAAGCTGAAATAATACCTTAAATTAAATTAATCGAAATTAATCTTAATAATGTGATACCAAAGCATCTTAAAAACCTGTAAATAATTCATTGCGAGATAATTATTAGTTGTTACACAGACGATGTTTATTAATTTATCAAAAATTTGTTTATCTGATATATATAGTAAAAATGCATTTTTTTTTTGTTTTTCAATTGAGATTCTCCGCATTTTCAGGCGCCATCGTTAGCATCCCGAAGACCACCGCCGGCTTCCACGTATTCAGGATATGGTGAATACGGGGGACAGTTCTTTTATTATGGTAATATGAGCAAATACGCTTACGAGAATAGATTCAAGTACACCAGGATCAGTAACGCGGGAAACACCGGCGGAGAAATTGAAGAGGAGACTAATAGGCCTTGCTTCGATTTGATCATTGGAATCCAATTAAGGCAATTTACTAAGAATAAAAAATTATTTGTAAAAATCACAATAGTAAAGAAAGTTGCGAAACCTTCCCAATTTCCTGTAAACAGCTTGTTTAAAAATCTTCTTGTCTTTCCTTAAACTGTGAC